TGGCGGAAACGCGTCCTGCATGCGAAGTGCCGATATTTCGTGTTTCACTTTTCTGGTGTTTCAAATCTGATAGGATCGTTTACATGATTATACATATGATGTAAGTTGATAAACCTTGTTAAGTTTCGTTCGAATAGGGGTTTTTATAAAATTGGGGCAAATAATGTCTCCCATTATGAGAACATAAGTAAACTTCATTGAGAGTGAGTATTTCATGGTCTGCCACAGTGCCTAGTTGGCTGAGCCTAAGAATGCAGGAGAACGGTAGACTACACCGATCAAACAAGTGCTCGCTGTGAAGTGTAATTGTGCACCAAAGTGTGTCGGCGGTAGCATCGAAGAGATTCATTTTCAAATTGAAGATTACTGTGAAAAAACAGCCACCTGGTGTAGCACGATCATTCAGCGGGAACATTCCGCGTAGGTGCAATTTGGAGTTGCGAAATAGGCAGTCAACCAAGCTTCGGTAATGGCAGCATGGCCCCACTGACCAGTTTGCAAGCGCAGTTGTCCCTCGGGGGAGTTTGCGAATGAAGCCTTGTGTGTCCGCGTAAAAACAGGTTAGAGGGTATCGGTTTAGGAACCGGCTGGATTTCGAGTCGTTAGTTACGCCGACAACTCTGCAGTCAGGGTTTTTGGGAATTGGTTCTGTTGCTGTGGTCCCGCGAAGATGGAGAGGGAAGTGGAGTTTTGCTTGAAAGGCAGCGTGCTGGTATCGTTTTCTAACTGCGGACACCTAGGATTGGTGAAAGAGGCGTACGATGCTCATCGGGTGAACGTCTGTGCTCACTCCAGTAGATAATGCAGTCCAGTGACCAAGCTCTCCTTGTAGCTCCCTCAGTGAAGTTGCTGTCGCTCCTGGAACATTAGTGAGGATAACTGTCGGGGCGGTGTGATTGAGTCTCTTTTTGTTTTATCGACGTGCGGTGTAAATACTCTGGACTCAATGTGGTTCCTGAAATTGAGGCTTCCTCGTTTGCTGCTGTTGTCCTCGTCCTAAATAGGCAAGTGTCGGCCGCACTGTGGCCATCCTAGTGTTCCTCATTGCTTTTGGCGCCGTACTTAGTTCAGCAGAGCGTATCAGGGGCGCGGGATTAGAGCTATTGTGGGAAAACCCAAGAGGCTTCGTCAACCGCTGGGTCCGGTTCGCCGGGAGAAAGTGGAAAATCAAGGAAGCTATCCCATCAGTGATTTTAGCTTTTGAAACACTGGGTCCCCATCAGCTATCGCATCAAAACACGAGGTCAACTAAAGGGTAAGTTAACTGATTGCGCATAAAATGGGATGACAGAATCCGATTATCAACACCTCAGTAGTTGCTGACAGTTTTGCATTGCAGTCACGTAATAAGCATTAGAAAGAGGAAGCGGGACCAAGTACGTGTCTGATCAGCATGAGATGGATGATCCCGGATTCCTTGTGATCGTCTCATCATCGAGCGTGGGTTGTGTCATCGACTTCACCAACCACTTAGGAATATTTTCGGTCATTCGTGATAATTGACGGTTGTTTCCGCCTATGTATCCGTCACTGCAACTGCAAGTGAACTGTGAGACATACGGGTAGAGTCAATAAGTCGAAGTTGAACAAGTGGGAATGTGGGGTTCAGAGCTGATTAACATTTGACATACATCATTCATAAGGTGATCGCCTTTGGAAGATAATTTAATGTAGACCGCTTTACGGCAAACAGTTGAAGATGGGTTATCTGTTGGAGAATGTTTACTATGGATATCAACGAATCCTTCTGGATAACCATTTTTTCCTTTTCCTCAGCAGCTAATAATAACTTCTCATACCTACTCGAGATGTTCATAATGCATTTGATAGCGGGAGTATTCAAGCAATCCGTGCAAAGCCAAAAACAATCTGGTTATGAAGCTATCCGTTTCGCCTACTTGCTCGACATTTTCACGCACGAGAGTGAAAATATTTCCTACGATAGGTGCATGATGTTCCCATCTTAACATCTTTTACACAGCATTTTCAACCACAAACTCCCAAAACCTGTGACCAATGGAAGGGCATTTGTTGATATACTCCGTAGTCCATTTTGATGCGGTGAATGGCGAGATGAGAAACAGTTGAAAAAGGTCAAGATGAGCGAGTTCGATATGTCTAGGTCAACCAGGCAGTGTTCAGAACAATTACCAGGGTAGGACTTGCGCATCCATCGTCGTCGCTGCGTTGAACGGACGGAGACACGTGCAGGCGTGATGGAAAACGGCACAGAACTGAATGTGAAGTGTACAGAAGCTAATTGGACAAGGCGTTGAGTTATATTCAAAATGATACGCAATAAACTGTGGAGAGCATAAATCATCTTTGCGCGCGTGAATAGTACAGAAAATTCGGTTTGAACAACCGAACGGCGGGACAGTATCACGCTTGATTTGGTATCACACCATGGAACTCACAATAAATAATAAATATATCTTACTTCCTTTCTTATTTATTGAATATATAAATGTACAGTCAACTTTCAGGAAGGAGGCTACGGCCATACAAAGGCTGCCTGGGGAAATACAGAAGACGGGCGGCGGTGGAGCGGTTCGAACCCGAGACCCCTGGGCCACAATTTGGTAACCTAACCATTGGACCACAGCCCAAATGAGGGTCAAAAAAATGTAAATAAAATGTCTTTTTACTTCCTTTTCATTTATTGAATATACAAATGTACAGACAACATTCAGGAGGAGAGCCGCGGCCATACAAAGGCTGACTGGGAAAACGGGCTGGAGCGGTTCGAACCCGGGACTCACAAGTCTTAAGTTGGTGACCTAATCCCTTGGTCACCACTAGACGTTGTACGTAAAGATCTGGAAGAAAAATCCCTCTAAAACCGAGAGAGCACAAGCTGATCAAACGCACAGCAAGCAACTGTTCCCCAGTCAATGAGCACGGTTATCAGGGGGCATCTATCCCTCATATCACAGAAGTACTGCATCGCTTTAGAAGAAACTTCTACACTGTTCAAGGTCATTTAGAAGGGGACTTCAAAATAAAAGCTACGGTGGATTCCAATACATTTCGTTACTGTGTAGGATAAGTTCTTGCAACGAGTGATTCTTCAGAGTTTGCAGCTATCTTATATTTTTCGACTGTCGTTTTTTAATTCGATAGCGGTAACATGTTTCTGAGAGCACAAAGGAGAGTTGCTCAGTCGAATCGCAATGAGTAGTAGACGATCTCCAATCTGCTTTGGTCGCAACTCGTTGAGCTTAGATAGGTCAGTTGGGCTAAGAACGATAGAGATGCACTCATACTATGGTGACCTTTTTGATCCAGTATATTTTTCAATGATTCTACCCTGCTTCTGCCTTCCTCAGCTATATATGCATCCGCATTCGATCGTGTACCTTGCTCCGTCCTCACCAATGGCAATCCCTAGATTCTGCTAACCATTTGCTTCATCTGCCTCGAATATGCCAAGACTCAAAGCACGAGATTCAACCAAAATATACCCAAACGGTCAGTAGGCAACTGAGGAGTTCCAGAAGAACAGTACTTTCATTATTCATTCTCAATTTATGATCTATTATCTTCTATCCTGCTCACCTTCTCAGGTATGCAGATCACACTAATCTATTACAGATTGTCTCCCATCAATCCGGAATCCCTCACTTCTCAGATAATCCGTCACATATCCGCGATTCTGGGCGTTCGCAAAGCCTGAACAAATGCTCTGAATGCATTTTCCACATACTCTCTACTATTCATTCTCAATCGCTTTCCAGAGTTGGCACTGGACAACAGTTCTATGTATCACTCTTCAAAACGATCCGGAACACCTTGAAAATATCTTATGCAAATTGCATCTCTTATCTTTCCAGAATAGTTGAGATAATACGGTGCGGGTCACAGCATTATCCAAGTTGTTATTACAATTAATCGGCATTGTTCCTTCGTAATATTGATGAACTGCTTAAAAAAATAAGCGAATCCGGCATCACTTAGCTATTATAATTCGCGTTTCCCCAGTTCTATTGCATGTTCTTCGTTTAGTCATTGTGAGACGCATAACAGATCTTGCTTCCATTGTTGACATTTCTTCTCTAAACTAAGCCATTTATTACATTCTGACCTTTCGAAATGTCGGTTTTATACATCCACTCGATTACCTTACCGTATTTTGCATTACCGTAACTGTTTACGGACAAACTTAATTATATCTTACTTAACAGATATTCTAACAAGCTGGAATGAAGCGGATTTTAAACTTTGATACTGACACTTACTTTTATTATGATTAGCCCGCGGTATTTCCCTCTACGATTGAAAAACGGTTTGTACATGCTCAAGTTAGTTAATATGACATAATGTCACACTGAGATGGTACACTAAGTGGGCAGATTATTTTCAGTAGAGGATTAAGCCCCTACACACACATATTTCCCCAGTTTTCGAACAAAAAAAAACAAGAGTGCGCAACGGCTGAAACATGTACTATACACAAACCTGGCCCACGAATGTGTACAACGCTACTTTTGAGCTGGGGTACCTATTGCACGAGCCTTCCGTTCGAGCTCCGTCAAACGCAGCTCCTCTCGAACCGAAGCGTCGATTGAATCTAATTTATCCTTGAAGTACTCGGCATACCATCGTAAATGTTCGCGCTTCTGTTCCACTGTGAAATGCGGATTCTGAGCCAAGCCGACACAGACTAAATCAAGGAAGGCTGCAACCGGAGGTGATTTACGCAAGGCCTTATCGACATGCTCGTCCAGGAACATGTGTTCGTGGAACGGCACATTCGTTTCCGTTTCCCAATCTGCAAACGAAAAACAAAAAAATTATGACTAGTATAACTAAACACTACTGACACGCACCAGATAATCCCACAGTTAGATGGTAATATCATTAATAATAAAGTAGCAAGATATGCAACTATTTAGTGACACCAACAATCAGTTGAATGCTCACTAACTACCTAGTACCAGAGTGCTTCATACCTATAGGACAAGCAAAATCGGGGCTGCGCAAACTTGTCCGATCAGTGGAGACGTTGGCCCAAGGGAGAGAAGTTCAGAAAAATAGCAAAAGACGTACGTAGGATAAGAAGACATGTTGTCAGAACCAGATGGGTTTGTGAACGTTAGCGCGAGATTCGTAATGCTTCAATTAGGACAAAAAACGAACTTTCTGCAGTAATCTAATTCATCAGGAGGCCCATAACTAGTTGTTTTCGGTATACAGCTCCTTTTTCCTGTCTTCCATTCAGAACGAATAATTGCACACATGAATCTAGTGCAAAGTTTCGTAGTGGTAGGTTGAATCACATCGGAACCTTTTTACACTATCCGGCTTCCAATCATGTGATGTTTTCGTCTTAAAGAAATACTACAACTAACGAGAAAACAAGGTCTGTTCACGGTCGGATCATCAGGAAAATGGATGATTCTGGAATCGTGAGCTTATATCGGAGCATTACTGCAAGCTGAGTAGGCCATGTATGGTGGTGAGGGAGTGTAATTATTATGATCAGCAGGTTGAGCGATAAGCTTTAGGTATGGTGTGCCATTTTCAAAAAAAGGACCGATACCAGATTAAAAGGATAGATCGACGACAGGAATGTCTCTAATCGACGGGTGACGATTCACAAATGGCACGATAAGTTTAACTTCGATAATAACCGGCGTTAGCTTTCCGAATACTTCGCCGCTTAAAGCCTTTGGAAGAACCAAGCATCTGAGAACAGGAGGCAGATGAACGTTGTATAATGCACTTGATGATACTAACTCCACTCGATTTTTGTGCAACGTCCCAGAAACCAAATTACCCGGATTGATCAAATATGATAAGATGATTCAAATCATTGCCGCATAGAAAAACCTAACGGGTATTGCGTGTGATTTTTAAAAAAACTGATTTCTCGTAGATGTGCTCAGTGAGGTGCGAAATGCCAGCAGTCCCGGACCTAATGGCATCATTCAAGTGCACTCCATCGTTAGCGACGTAGGTTGTATGAATCAATCATGTTCCAGCTGTGAGGCGATTTCTAGTTATACAACATTAAACAAAGTTTACGCCGCTCAAGGTAGCCGTTGAAGTCGGGCTTCATCAAACCAGGGGAAGTCACAGGGAGCTGTAGAGGAGTATAGGGAGAACACATTGTCGGACAAGAGTTACTACCATCGGTTGATGAGGGCAGAAATCATGCAATCTCATTTGAAAGGAGAGACCTTGTAGCATGCTAGGGGTATTCAGAGACCACTGGAGGTTATTTTTAAGAGTGATACCTATGTAATTCACATGGCCAACGCTGTTTATCAGCTTCTTTTGATCTGAACATTTTCGGAGAAGGATAGGGAACGGTTCAAAGTGAAGACACACTCAAGGCATTCTTCAGGATAATACGAGGCGAAATAGGTGTGTTGTACTCTGCCAGCTTCGATTGATCAAATATGGAAATAGAACTGGTGATGTCATCTGCATAATTAAAATGCCGTATAGAGGGAGTAACAGGTAAATCACTGATGAAAGCCGTAAACAAATAGAATGTTAAACAGCAACTTGAAGTACACACGAACTATTGAGTGACGTTTGTGACTATCTCCCTCCTAAATTAAACTATTGGTATCGCCGCGAAAATAAATCTCCAAGCCACTAAAGAAAAGAAAAGGGACAACCAAACGACTGAGGCTGGCTAAGCAAAATAAAACGGGGCGTGGTGTCAAAATCTGAAGAAGGACTGAGAAACGCCCAGTCTACATATTTGACTTTGCCATTTAGAGACTTTCAAACACAGTGAACCAAGGAAGAAACGGCATCTAGTATGCAGCGGTTATTCTTGTATGAAAACTAATCAGTCAGCGGCGGTCGGGAGAAATAACTGAAGGTGATGTTGTACCAAGAAAGTAGTTCGATTCCACGCTGCAAATATTTACAGTCCCTCATCACAAAAACCTGGCTCGAATCCAAAGTTTAATTTCACTTGTGACACAAAAAGATAGTCGTTGCATTTCGGCCCTCCCACCACAATCGAATACACATTCCTTTCACAACAAATGCATTTAAGAAAAGGTGTTGATATGATACCATGCTGGAGAAACAAAGTTATAACGGGATAACACAAGTCAAAACATCATTTAAAATGTCTGTTGGCAATGCCATTGGATTACCAAGATGTATCTAGGGAAAAGCCAGGTGACCCTCCAAGCGGAGCAATATTGCCCCAGGAGTTGTGTTCGAGATTGAAGTCCAAGGACAATGGGCAAGATAGCTTTCAGTCGTCAATGTGGCGGTGGCCGTTACTTCATGGTTTAGGGTGCTATTTTTGAGGATGGAAAGGCTGTCGGCAGTTCCCGAATGAACTAAACGCATTAACAATTACAGAAAACAGATTTTTTCAAAATGATAATCTCCTCTCCCACACAGAGAGCTCATCTCAGTAGGATGTGATGTTTGCGCCGAAAAATCAAGACCACGGACATACGAACCCACAACCCGGAGTAGAAAATAACTGAAAATCTTTGGGCTCTAATAAACGGGCTAGATTACGGATACACAAGTTCACAAAATTTCCCTGAATTAGGTAGTCATCCTTCATAAGTGGAAAGATTTCGAAATTCATATAATTTGGAACCGAATTATAACGATGAATAATAAAGGTCGATATGGTTTGTGATCGCTTATATCTTTTCATCATTTTCCAGGCACGTTTCACAGATTAATCACAGAGCCATAATCAAAATCCATTTGGTTTATCTAAACGTTATTAGACTGTTGTCATCGTACCCAATTTGATCAACTTCGGAGGTTTGGTTACCAAGATATTCCGGAAAATTTGGGATTTAATAGCATTGCGTGCGTTATATTGGTCAGTTTCAGTTTTTACAACCACTTTCGTGCGCTGGTTTTGATTGCTATCTTTTGGTGCCCCATTTGGATAAATGAGCAGAATGGAGACTGGAATGTTGAAAGGAAGTTCAAGCGGAAGATGGAGAATTCACATAAAGTGGTGTTAGGACAATAATGAGTGAATGCACAAGCGCCACTGTTTCCGACACCCAGCCGTATCACTCAGTGTCTCTAAAAATCGGTGAACATCATCTCGGGGTCCCCTAACAGGGAGCCTACCGGGGTCTATGTGACCTAGTCTCCTGGAAAGGGTTTTCATACCCTCATGCCAAGTCTTGGTTTAATTGCCCTTGACTTTTTCCATTCGCTGCTTGCTTCGGCAAACATTGCTCGCCGCGGCAACCTATCTGGTGACATGCGTAACACATGCCGCAACCAAATTAATCTATTGAGGTCGATCACTTGCTATATTGGCCATATATTCAAGTTTCGCCAAGTGCTGAAGTTATGCCCTATGAATCGTCCACAAAACACGTTTATCTGCGTTGGCCTGAAACGAGCTTTTGACTCGGTTGACCTTGGGGTTCTTTCCAATTCCTCTCTTGGTTAGGGAACGAACCTGAATTTTATGAGCATTTTGAAGTCATCAAACTCGCATACTTTTGGAGAATGAGAGTATATTGTGCCTGCGTTCGTTCGGTCTTGCTTCATGGTTGTAAGACCCTGGATTTGCGACTAGAAGTTTTCGATTATCGGTGTTTACGTCGTTTAGCCCATGTTGGATGGAGCGAACGGGTTAGCAACGTGGAGGTAAGCCGTCGTGTGTTTGGGAGTTGTATCAGGTATAAACCTGCTAGCACACCGAATTCAGATTACTAGGCTTCGCTGGCTAGGGCACGTATTGCGTATGCCCAGCCATCGTCTGCCGCAGCGCGCCTTATTCGCTGTAGCTAATCCAGGATGGAGAAAATCACGTGGAGGTCAACAGATGACGTCGAGACGAGGCATGAAGAAACGCATAGAGCCATTAGGTAGAATAGGTGTCTCTCACCTTCCAGGTTGGGGTCCGAAAGACTCCACAACTGGTTGGTTGGCGACATTAAAGGATATGGCAGCGAACCGGCACCAGTGACGTTCATGTTGTCGTTTCTTATCAGGTCAGAATGCTTGAAACGGTATGTATGCAGAGTTCGATTGGGTACTCTGTGTTGACTATAGTGGCTCAACTTCTTCTCCCTTCCTCAAAATAGATCCAACCCCTGTCCAACTTAAATTTTACCACTAACCTTGTATGCATTGTGAGTTTGGCAGCGGTCAGTGAAGTTCGCTTCACTGTATTTCGCTGTACGATGATGATGATGGAGAGTAAGGGTCTAAGGGGGAATAAGTAGCTCATTCTCCACAAGCAGTGGTATTCGACGGAAGTGCCCCATTTTATCACTCCTGTTGAATTCCGTCGTAGACCAAATATTGGAGGACGCACTCTGTGGTTTCAGAAATGCAGCCATTGAGTGGACAATCGGGGGAAGACTGCGCGACTTACAGTACGCTGAAAACACTACTTGTTTCCTATTGGAATGGAGGACGCGCAAAGTTTCTTTAACAGACTCATTCGTCCGGGGTGCTGTGCTAAAAAACTGGGAAGTCGTTTACCCCTGCTCTGCTCTCTGATGGTTACAGTGGATAGTTTCTCCCCCTCATGTAGTCACATAACGAGTGATGATAGAGTAATAAAGGAGGTATCACTCGCACTTCCCAGTCTCGAAAACCATACGCTGGATTAAAACACTCCAGCACTGACACCACGTTTCTGAGGAGTCACATGTGTTGTGAAACTGAACGATGTGTTTTGCTTTACGGTTGTGAGACCTTGGATTTGCGTGTAAAAGACACACGTCAATGAGAGCTTTTCGACACCCAGTGTTTGCGTAGTTTGGCACAAGCACTATGAACCGAGCGGGTAAGTAACACTGAGGGTGACCGTTTTGTACCTAGGAAAACTGGTCAGAGCGAGTCCGGATTAGTAATTTTGCTCACATTCCTATCGCCAATTTCGCCACGTCCGGTTTCCATGTATTCATCAAGGTGGAGGATAACACGTTGAAGTCACGATACGACGTGGGGACGAGATATTCAGAAATTCACGGAGAGAACACGGATAACTGTTTGCCTTCCCCGCCAGAAAGACCACAGTTCACGTGAATACAATCGGTTCTGAGCTACGTCTATCAATCATTCCATCCATTCCTTAACAATTTACCCAGATTTACAAAGCAGCAGTAGAAGGCAACACCGAAGTTCACTTCTTCATGCTCCTGTGCCGAGTCACTACCTAAACAACCCGTCGTATTTTCGAGTACTTTCCAGCATATGCATAAACCTACCAATGCGTAGACGGTAGACAGCCATACACAAAACTTTTTGAAGCCATCGGAGGAAGGGTAGCGCACATATAGTAGATGTTCTGCAAACTAATATTCATGGCTTAACAATCAGTGGTGTTGAACTAAACCGAACGAAAGAATTTTCTCACTTAGACATTATATATATATATATATATAATGCGATCGCTCCATCGTTTTTGATCGTCTCGTCCTTCTCGCTCGTGACCTTAAGTAAGTAATTCCAGGTTGCGTCGGATTCGGAACCAATCCTCCTCCTGTGGCGGCCCGAAAATCAAACGACCGATCGGTCGAATGGTTCGGCCGCAACAAGGGACCTGGTGCTTGCCCAGCTAACCCGAGCGAGAAATCACACCTTTTCATAGTTGTGAGTCTCAGGTAGGTCCAATGAACTTCGACCGTGTAGCAGCAGTGCCATCAGCACTCGGATGGACTGGACATAACAACAGGAGCATTACAAAACATACAAGCCGGTAATCAGACAGTCTCGTGTTGGGGTGACAGATTTTAAGAGCGGAATATGATCCAATCAGATCGCAGTAGAGGCCAGAGGGGATTTACTTGCTTGGGGTCACGGGCGAGAGGGACGAGACGATCGAAACCGATGGAGCGATCGCAGTATAT